TTCTTTCGGTCGATGCGTCGTCGACTTTGGAAAGCAACCGTTTCGTGATGAGTGTGTGAGTGCTGACCACGTTTTGCGTCCATTGCTGCAATGGACGCGCTCTGACCCTCGTTGGCGTAACCGCCATACAATGAAACTACTGGAAGCGGCTCCTCTTCTGATGGGAGAGGCTTTTTGGATAGCGGAAGATAAAGTGTTTATTGTGTTGTATCTTTTGACTATAGTTTTCAGATGTATTGTATAGTGACCAAGAATCCTTATCAAATAAATTATTAAACACAAAAAAGTAGTAGAATTATTATAATTATACAAGAATATTGTGTTTACGAATACGGTCAAAATTTCGATACTTTTCATTTTCCTGATTTGCAATGCTTGTTGGCATTGGTGCATTTTGAATTTGGGTGTGCTTCGAACGGGTGTGGATTCAGAATCAACGGAAAAGCATTAACTTTCACCTTAAGATAAGGTTTTCTCCAGGACGCTAGAAAAAGAAAAAAAAAAATCTCGGATTATACGATTGATCGCAAATATCTTTCAATTAGAAAATTTTAGTAAAAAAATTTCATTTTTTTTTATTATCTATAAGATAGTCTAGTCTACAGTCTAGTCTACACATACACAGCCAGTACTTGAAAGAATCCTGGAAAATGATACATCTATCATTTTTCTTGTCATTATTAATGCCTGCTGCACATCAAGGATGTGAAACAAACAATAAAGCGGCCAGGCCTACTGTGTAGCGTTTAGTTAATTTTTGTGGAAGTGAATGTTTACCATGTCTACTTAATAAGTATAGACAGTGGTTAACATTTAATCCACAGGTAATCAAAGAGCGGGGACATACCGTACCAACCGCTCCGTATGCTGGATTTGAAAATATGCTATATAAATCGTTGGGAGTGACAGAGCTAAGAAAGTTAATGTACACTCCTTGGTTGTCCGATCTCCTGGGATGGAACACAGGTATTTACCCCTTGTGTTCGAGCGAACAGTCCTCCCTCCGCACAAGCGTGGACGGCACCGCCAACCCACTGCCATCCCTCAATCGATCCAGCCGACCTCAGTTGAAGGACAACGGAGAGCGGTGTGCGGACGTAACCTATACGGAGGGAATGCTGTATTCGCCTAGGTTATAGCGCCCTTGCTCGCTACCATTTTCTTCTAGCGGTTGGGACCTGAGCACTAACTCTTGTCCTAGCCCTATATGGCATATGGTTATAGCGCCATTACTCGCTTTCTGAAAAGAGAAGAAGGGAAGGGAAGGAGAGGAAAAGGACTTGGGAAAAGAAAATGTGGAATTCCTTTCCTCATTAGTATTTGTATCGTCAACTTTTATGAAAACTATATAAATCATTTTTCCTTGGCCAGAGGTATTATTACGACATTTGAATAAGATTGTCTTATCATTTGTTATTCAAAATTTAATGTTATAATGATCAACATAGCTTTGAATTATCTAATATAAATCGGTAACACTGTCCTGCAACCGATTATTTTTCTAATCCGAAAACTAAAAGTTACGAAAAAGCACTTAGGTCTTCATTAAGTTCCACTTTCACGCGACGTTCAATGTTTCGCGGTTTGCTCTTTACGCATTGTTCAGGCTATCATAACAAGCTATGACCAACGTGACGATTGCTTAAGCCCTGGTTAAACAAGTAAACAAGTTATTAAAATGAATTCATGTTCCCGAAAGCAGTCAATAATGTATCTTAAACCGGATCAAGCGTGCGCCCTATTTTTCTAAACATTCCGACGCGGTCCGCCCAATATCTATCAATTACGTTTTTCTACAATAGTAGCCTGGGATAAATCCTAATTCGACCGACACGTGTTTGTTGAAACATTATATTCTGCTTAATATCAGTAGTCAGTAGTCATTAGGAAACCTGTTACTATATTACCACATATGTATCCTTCTTTCATGAATTTGTCCACTGACTGGCAGTGGCATTATGGATAAAATCCTCCTGGAACCATCTTTTATATAAATAATTTCAAGAAGCTTAAATCCGGGAGTTAGAAGGTGACAGCTCTATCACAACTCCTAAAGCCCATTTCAAGAACGCAAGCATTCCGAAGCTTTTTTCGTATATGATAAGCCCCGCTCCAATACATTTCAATGTAGGAATCATTAATAATGTACTGGGACTTTCAACCAAGCGGTATTGCTTGATTTACGCGTATTTAATGAGTTGGAAATGTTTGTAGTATCACTAGTACTAGTACTCGGAAATTAAGTATGAAAATATTGTAAAGGACAAAATGGAACGAACTCACCAAATCTGGCCAAGTGAACCTAACAAGCTGGCATGATGTGTTAGAGGGGAAGTCGCAATTGTAGACGGTTCGCTTCACAGGGTAATCCGGTTTGTGGTAAAGCTTGCACGGAATGTATAGTCTTGAAATACGTCTTGGCCGTCTGATACAATCCACATATGTTAGAAAAAAATCCGGAGCAACGCAAAATCCATAAATTTAACGGGATGAAATTTCTTCGCTTCCATCTACAAGCACAACACTCTTCTATCTCCCACCGGTTTGTCCACTCGTGGTTGTCTAATAATCCGTTCGTTTCTATTTGTTGTAACAACCGAGCACTTACACACGAAATTATTGATTAAGTTTCAGTTGACGGAGTTTTTCAATTCTCTTACTAAATTTTCACTAAACACTCAGTAAAATTCGCGAAAAATAAAGCAGCAGCATAAACAAAACACGTCAGATCCAATGCACGGCCTACCTCGATCCTTCATTTTTTTTATTATCTATAAGATAAACCAAAAATTCCGTGCATTTTGTAAACGAAAATGCTTAATTTTGTTATCAGAAAACGAGGCGTTGGGAACAAAAAAATGGTTTCCCTAACACAGTTGCTGAGTTAGAGTTGTGCAAATTAGTAGCTCATAGTGCTCTTCGACCTATGGTTGAAAATAACCTAAGTGACGCCCTCAGGACGCCACACTCAACAAAAAAAGAACAATCGGAAAGTACTAACCAGTTGGGTTTTTGCACTGCTGTTACTGGCGGCAACGCTGATGCTGGATCTAGATGCAACACTAGCCCACCTGTCTCTAAAGGGCCGATGATAGTGTTGGCTTGGAGCCATTTAAAAGTTATATTGACGGTGTTGCTATCCTGATGGATACTATTGATTAGATAGTAACAAAATGAATGATATACCTTTATTGACTCTGGGTAGAAAATGGAGAAAACAAAATAAATAACGGTAAGTTGCCAATTGTTCTACACTTCACATTGGTTACTATGCCGCATTTATACATGGCTATAACGTTTACCGGTCATGGTGACATTTTGAACATTGATGTATTGCTGAATCATAAAAAAAAAAGTTCTTTAGATATTCAATAATAGAAATAGTGTGATTAAACTTGTGAACAGGTGAAATCATAATTCTTCTGCTAATAATCTTCTGTTGCAAAATTAACTATTACTAGCTTAAAATTCAGTTAAGTAATCTCAACAGAAAAATGTTCATTATTCTTATATTCAACTTTCTATTGCAATACATCCATCAACTATGGCATGTCAAGGTATTCACTGTCAAGGTCACTGTATTTCAACCATCTAAGAAATTGGTAAAATCTAAATATAATACTACTCACCCGAGGAGTCATAACGGACGTTATGACTCCTCGGGTACACCTGCCATAACGACTGTTATCGTTTACTAAATCCAAGACTGACTCGACTCAATCCTCCAACAGAGGCCGATACCTTACCCAGTTTTTTTCAACGCTAATAGACCTAAAGAAGGTAGCTGGCGAGCTAAAGGGCAATTAAAATGAGCGTTTTTGTACATTTTTCTCTCGTTACTCATAAATCCAGATCAACATGTGAAAAGGGCATACAAGCTTTTTGTAAACAAACCTTTGTAGGCCCTTTTCTCACCAACCGAGGGTCGCCCACGCAAACCAGCAATATCATCGGGAAGGGGAAAGTGTCCCCTACCCGGTGATGTTAAAGGTTTGCGTTGGTTTCATATGGGTGGCGAGAAAAGGGCATAAGAAAGTTTGTTTACAAAAAGCTTGTATGCCCTTTTCACATGTTGTTCTGGAAATCAAATTCAACCTCTCTTCAACTTGATCTTCTGAGTCGCTTTATGTATTTCTCTCTCGATTTCTCTCAAGGAATATTTGAAAATGCGCTCTATTAGCTGCACAAAATGTTTCCCCATGATGTGTCTAAGATAATGCTTGAATATATATTATATATGAAATGGGGAATGTTCCTTTTTCCTTTTTTTTTGTTTGAATGATCTGTATTTTAACCATCTAAAAAAATGGTGAAATCTAAATATAATACTACTCACCACATACAACATACTGGATGATGAACTTACCGAGCACTTGTATCTGTTCGGGCTTATCGCGGCACCGGTCATGTTGACGAAAATTTCCATGAGTTCATTCACTGAAAACAGATCGGGGTTGTTGTTTTGCATTGTTAGTTGTCTCCAAAATCCAGGGGGAGGGGGAGAGCTTTGTTCAGCAGAAGATCCAGATGTTTCTTGAGGGGGAGCAGATCGCACCAACGAATTCACTTTTCCGTGAAGAGGCGGAAAGTCCTCCGCCCTGAAAGCTGAGGCCTTATCCTTCCTTCGTCTTGATTGATTGTTGGTGGACGCCTGTTTTCGGATGCACTTGAAATCCTCGCGTTTAGGGCACTGCTTATCGGATCCTTACCCTAGCAGCACACTTGTCACATAATAGTAGTTGTTACTTGTATGCACCTTATTTCAGTCACAATCAAGTTGCAGCAACCTATTTCGTTGGATGTGTGTTGCTTGGGTAGTGAGCACCACCACAGTTGGCACATTTGGACGCCACAGCTTCATCCGCAGCACAGTCGGAGAAGGCGTGGCTTTTAGCGTAATTGCCACAGCGTGGCTTAATATTGCAGTTGCGGGTGCCGTGTCCAAAGTTGAGACACTGTTGGCACTGAGTTACATCGCGATGGCCGCCACGATATGGCTCTCAGCGGACGATGATGGAATTGATGGAGTGGATGGCTTTCAGTGCATTGAGCGTCACCATTCCCTTCTGGAAGTGCACCAGGAAAAGGCAATCCGGATACGCCTTTACATTCTCGTCCTTCCTTGTCATCCGATAGACGGAACTTGTGGCCAGCTTGTACCGGTCTCGGATTTTAGCTTCGATAAACTTCGGGTCGAAGTTTTGTAGGCCCCTCATGACGACCTTGAACGGTTTCTCATCGGGAATATCGTGTGTGAAGAATTCCACCTTGGCAGTCCTCAGGTGGGCGACGATCAAGTAATACTCCGGTTTCGTACGGAGCACCACTTTGGTGCCGACTCTGCCCAACTTGTATTTGGCTTTGACGCCCAGTGACGCCAGATCTGCGACGAGCTCGTTAAGATGGGCGTTTTTCACTACCAGAGGAGGTAGCTTCACTTTTGCCGCGCCCATTTCGGCAGCATTTTCGGTTTCGGCAGCGACACAAAAATCTCCAACATCACTGCCGTTCGTCATAGTGACATCGTCGCGACCAATGGTGCCATCGGACTGGCCCCGATTCTTCTTCCTCTTCTTGCTGCGTTTTTCCATCCCAGCTGGCTGGGTAGAACAACAAACCTGTTGGTACACCCGAGCTTCCTTCATCGGGGTTCTTGCTGAGCACCAATGCTACCGACGTCAGGGAGGCATCTCCCACACCTGGACCCTACCTATCGACCCATCAACTCATGAATCGGGGACCATTTCACCGGGCTTCTCGAGCGATGTTTTCCCATTTCGGGGCACACACACACAAACACCGCGAAAAAGAGAACGCGAACACTATTGCAACGAACTTTACGAACAACTCGAGAGCACGAGCTGACACCGAACTGAACTGCTTGACTGTCAAGCAGAGAACGATATCACAATGACATGGCCACCGTTATTGAGCTTTAAATATGGGGTCACACTTGTATATTGAGAATGGATGGTCACTCCTAGCCCCACTCAGTTAATGATTCTGATCAATCACCGAGTAGCAACCATTGATATGTGCAGTCAGTCTAAGCTAAGCAAAGCTAAGGTTTTTCAATTCGTCAATCTAACGTGCTGCGTTACACTGGCCCACATTGATATGGGGGATTTTTTTTCAACGGGCCAACCCGATTTGAAATTTATATGGGTATATGTTCTTGGATGTGCTGGAATTGGAAATTGAAGGTCGTTACCGTTGATGCACGTTGAATTTTCCAATAACCGGACTGAATTCTTCCTCCCTGGTCAAACTGAGCATAGATATCTCCCATAACGATTTTGACGTCATGGCTTGGGCAGCTGCCGTATTTTCGTCTCAATTGCGCGTGAAAAGTGTCTATATCATCATCGCTCCATCCTAGGTGAGGACTATGTACGTTGATTATGCTGAGCCGGCACATTAAGTTGTTGACTTGCCACCACCCAATGACACGATTATGTATTTCTCTCATCACGTTGAAAGATGTACCCTAGCTCATGTTAACAGTATAGAAGTAATTGAGAGCAAGCACTTGTCCCAAAAAAAATGTAAATATTCGAGAAAAATGACAAGTAGTGATTGAATATCAATGGTCGAAATTCAAAATTTTGATTTTAACCTACTTTTAGTGTGTTTATGCGTAAGCAAACTGCCGTGATTTCCTTTCAGACTGTCGTTTAAGTGACGAACAATCCATGTTTTCCAATCATTTCTACAGAGCTTGGGGCCTTGCGGCTTACATTGCTTATGCAGTTGTTATGGTTTTCAGTCTCTTCTGAGTCATATATCATGCCATATAAGATGATATATTCGCCCAGAGAATGGTGTTTGCTTCCAGAGTGGTGACTCGTACAAGATGCGGTAGATACGTTATAAACATATATATGTTGCCATTTGCCGAGTAGGCCAACGTGGTTTAATTTGCTGCCTTGCGGTAGTGGCCACAGGTTAAACTTGGCTGGTGAGACATATGATGGCAAGTAAGCAGTGCTGAGTATTGTCATTGTTATTGAAAGATTTCACACTTTATTGACAGAATTATTTATGACACTGTCACTGGAAGAATGGACTCACACCATTTATTCATCAATGGCTAAAATTATAGTTTCGTGCAAACTCTAACACATTATTGTTTTCGAGGCAGATTTTAACGTAGATGCTAGTTCACTTTGATGGCACCATGGATTTATGTTGCTGGATTCATATAATTTCGTTACAAAATTGGAAGAAAACAAAAACTGCACATGTTCTTCGCTTAGTATAATTTCCCTTGAAGATGATCGTTAGATCGAATGAGTGATGAAAGCTATTTTGCCAATATCACTGTTTATGGTCGATAGTGTGCAGCACTGCAAGTAAGTATCAGGCTTTGAAATAGAAACAAACCCATTTTTTACTACACCGTGTGTTCGTGCAAGCGACCTTTACCGCCTTTACCCTAAGTAATGTTTTACCAATAGATGACACCATTCGTTTGCATATGTATAATAAATAAATATATGAACTGTATAGTATCATCATCTCAGGCAAAAAAGCATTTCAAAGGATTCAGAACAAAGTCTAGAAGATTTTTTTTTTTGCCTCCCTGGTACTACCGAGGTACATAGAATTCCGAATGTTAATTATTGATTTTACACACTTAGATCATTTTACCGAAATCTGTGAAATTTTACCGAAATCTCAACAGCTGAACGTTCGGCAAACAGTTCGGTGATTTTACACAGTTTCCCTGTAATTTTTCAACAAAAATCACAGAAAATCTGTTAAAAATCACCGACCTGTTTACCAAACGTTCAGCTGTTGAGATTTCGGTAAAATAATCTTAGTGTGTAGGGAAAATCGTTACAATCCTCAATTGCACCAATTAATTCCCTTTATATTTAGATAAGAATTTACTACAAGTCGTTAACCGTGATTCAAAGATAAGATTTAGTTTTAGTTTCTAGTTTAAAGATGTCTATTGTTATACTGACATGCAGGTATATGTAGACCTGTTTAAAATACTGAATTTCCAAGGCAGAAACAATGTTAAAAAACTTAGATATACATCATAACCATTAAGGCTGATATGTTACTGTAGCTACGGTAAAATGAAAAAAAAAAGGTTATAGATGTCAAGTCTCACATACCAAACACACAACTATGAAACAAAACTAAAGGAACACTTGCAGCAACCGGCAGAACATTTTCTTACGTTCTATTCTCACTTCCAACGTTTTAAAACGCTATATGGGCATGTCTAGTATGACCGGTATCAGGTTTGCCCTTTCGAGTGATCCCACAAGGGGAGTACTGCCAGTAACCGCAAGTCAGTCCTATTGTATTTAAATCATTTTTTTAATTGAGTTAGCAGCAATATTCAGTTTATTGTTCTATGTTTATTGAACTGTACTATTGAAAAAGGTGGTTTTTCAAGAAAAATTAAAACAATTTAAAGTCAAATTGCCCCGCAGCGAAGAGTGGAAAGTCATAGCTATCGCAAGTCTGTCCCATTAGGAAAAAATATGATTTCATTCAATAAACTATAAAACAACGTTACAGCCATGTTTGACGAGGCTTGATTCTATTAAATTAAGAATGTTAAGCAACATATGGCATTATGAGATTAGACGCAAAACAGATTCCGTCCACTACCCCTAGGGTATCCGGAACATGTCCGGATGTGGCTAATATAGTTCTTACGATCCTTAATATGACCGCCGGTTATGGCTCTGAATGTTCATGTAATTTGATGTGTCGTTATGATGGATTTTGATTTATACAGGTTTAACCACTTCTCGGGGAAACCTGGGACTTGTCCAAATGTGATGTCAATCTATCCAGCAGGCCACTTTTCACAAAAGTTGATAAAATTATGTTTTTCGTAGTGTACCAACAGCGTACCATAGCGTACCTTCAAGGATTTTGAACGTCGCAAATTCCTTGTTTTTGAGTGTCCTACTGAATAAACGGGTGATTTTTCGAAAATTTTCATTTAACCTTCCAAAACCTTCACCAATTTAGTGTACCAATAGCGTACCTTCCGAATCTGAGGTTCATTTTTAACGTTCCTCAAAATTTACTATACTTACTCATATAAAACTCTTTAAAATGCATTATATGTAAAATCTGACTTCGAATTTCGATTCCTTGGGAAATTTAAGCCCGATTTGACCCAAAAAACATATTACTTAAGTGTATTATACGCTACCTAATGACCAAAAACGTGATTTTAAAACAAGTATATCGAAATACCCTTGAATACCTACATACAGCTAAACATTCTATTTAGCGTTAGCGTTAGCGTTGTTATGATATACTTCGTAGATTGGATACTAGCGACACTCACGTTTCTTCTGAAATTCTCAGTTAGACTACTTTCAGGAATAATGCTGGGGAGTAAACATTGGTTCCAATCTAAACAAGAGTAACAGAAGCATGACTGTCGCTATTCCCTAGGGATAGGGAAGGAAATGTTGATGTAGTACTTACTTAACGAGAGGCCAACGACTTAGCGACACCCTCATAAGTGCTACAGAGTTGAAGGGTTGGGTAGGGTATTCGGTTAGGATTCACCTCAAGTTGGCGATGCAACCAAAAGTATGTATTGTTTATTTGTTGTTTATTTAATCTCTCGATAGCCGGCTATCGAAAGAACATATTCATTTTGTTGAGTGATCATGAATTTTAAGAGTCATGACGGAGAGCTTGGGATTAAACCCATGATTTTCTGCTCAGTAAGCAAAAACGAACCCTCCAGGGTCATCGAGCATCTCAGAACCATAACGCTTCGCGACAATACAGGACTATGTTTTCGCTTGATATGCAAATAGTTTCCGAGGTTAATGTCCAATATCAAATACAGGACTGTTACAACAGGCGCGGATTTCGCGAATTGTGCAGATTTCGCGATTTTCGCGGATTTGTCGCGGATTTGAACTTTAAGTCGCGAAAATCGCGGAAACATTAAATGTCGCGAAAATCGTGAAGGGACTGATGTGCTGTCACAAAAATTGTGGAATTCATTGTAACCTTTCCGTCCCCGATTATATTACTGTCATGAATTTTGTTGTTCATTTGGCTCTCAGTTGTTTTACCGGTTCAAACCAAACACCCTGCAAATAATCGAGAAATGATCTCAATTCCATAAGTTACACGGAAATTCTCTGAGGTCTGTCCAATGTGAGAAATTTTCCTTTTTTTTACTATATGAACATAGCATTTTTCGTTGTCAAATCATAAACGAATCGTATATATGCAAGTAATTGCCATGTATACCAGATATTCTAGGTTCTCCAAATCGTCCTGGAGTTTAGTTGATTTGTTCTACTATATCAACCAAGACTCCAATAATGTCTGTAGTATCGAAACATGTCCAAAAAGATTCAAAGTGTCTATGTGGATTGCCCCCGACCTATTGCTACGTATACAAGAAGTTATAGATTCTGAAATCATTATGAGATCAGATTATTTTTCTACTAGATCACCCAAGACTAATTCAATATCTGTATTATCGAAATATGCCCAAACAAGTGTGCAGTTTGGTTCATGCCAACCTATTTTCATGTATGCCAAATGTTCTAGGATTTCCAAATCGATATTTCGATACTACAGATATTATAACAGTCTTTGTTGATTTAGTAAAACAAATTATTTGAACTGCAGGACG